TGGGGGTGTAAATTTATAAGAAAAGATACAACCTTGGTCAAATTTGTGTGTTGAAAATTCCTTGGGATCAAGCAGTTTCCCCTATCTTGTACAGAGTCCAACGGATCAAATTAATTCCTTATGGAGTATGGACGGATCAAGCGCTTGATATAAGTCACTAATACATCAAATTTAAAGTTCAATGTTTTGACCTCTCTGGATATAAATATTAATCATTTGTATTACCGTTATTTTAAATAAACTTTTTATGACATTATTAAGGCAAATTTATTATTTAAAAACGGGGGGAAAAGGTAGAATAGCGTCCCTAACTGTTTACCTGGTATTTTTAGCACTAGGATAAACGTAGAATGCCGTCCCTAACTGTTTACCTGGTATTTTTAGCACTAGGATAAACGTAGAATGCAGTTCCCAACTGTTAACCTGGTATGTTTAGCACTAGGATAAACGTAGACTGCCGTCACTATCTGTTTACCTGGTATTTTTAGCACTAAGATATGCGTAGAATAGCGCCCCTAACTGTTTATCTGGTATGTTTAGCAGTAGGATACACCTAGAATGCTGTCCCTAACTGTTTACCTGGTATGTTTAGCACTAGGATATCCGTAGAATGGATAAGAGTAGAATAGTGTCCCTAATTGTTTACCTGGTATGTTTAGCAATAGGATAACTGTGAAATGGATAAGCGTAAAAAAGTGTCCTTAACTGCTTACCAGGTTTGTTTAGCCACTAGGAAAGTCGTTAAATGGATAAGGGTAGAATAGTGTCCCTAACTGTTTACTTGATAAGTTTAGCACTATGATAACCGTAGCTTGCAGTTCCCAACTGTTTACCTGGTATATTAGCACTAGGATAATCGTAGAATAGAATTCCTAACTCTCCTAACTGGTTACCTGGTATATGTTTAGCACTAAAATAAACGTAGAATAGAGTCCCTAGTTGTTTATCTGGTATGCTTAGCAGTAGGATACACGTAGAATAGCATCCCTGGATACACGTAGAATAGCGTCCCCAGCTGTTAACCTGGTATATGCATAGCACTAAAATAAACGTAGAATAGCGTCCCTAACTGTTTATCTGGTACCTTTAGCAGTAGGATACACGTAGAATAGCGTCCCTGGATACACGTATGAATAGCGCACCTAACTGTTTACCTGGTATATGTTAAACACTAAAATAAACGTAGAATAGAGTCCCCATGGATAGACGTAGAATAGGGTCCCTAACTGTTTATCTGGTATTTTTAGCACTAGGATACACATAGAATGCAGTTCCAAACTGTTTACCTTGTATGTTTAGCACTAGGATACACATAGAATGTAGTCCCCAACTGTTTAATACCACGAAGACGATCGAACTGTGGGGTATCTATAACTGCACGGCATATTCCAGGAATCTAAATAAATTCGTAAAGAAATGTAAAATAAAATAAATGGTTTAGATTTTACTCTCCCTAGGGTATTTATTGCAGGGTTTCATTAATATCCTAGCTACATAAAGTGTCAATCTACCGCCGCAAATTATTTGAAGATCAAACGACAATCTTGCAAGTGTCTATCAATTGACAACTGGTAAAAGTTTAGCTTGCATTGAAAATTTCCCAAAGACATTTTGCATTTGGTTGTAACCTTCTCAGATGAAACTTGATACACTGTCTTAGAGCTTGGATTCATAACTTTTCCTCTTAATATATTCAATAATCAATATGTATAATACAAGGCGTTTCCTGCCAATCCTCTATTTACTGTTTAATACCACGAAGACGATCGAACTGCGGGGTATCTATAACTGCGCGACATATTCCCGGAATCTAAATAAACTTATAAAGAAATATAAAATAAATGGTCTAGATTTTCCACACCCTAGGGTAGTTATTGCAGGGTTTCATTAATATCCTAGCTACATAAAGTGTCACACGACCGCCGCAAATTATTTGAAGATCAAACGACGATCTTGCAAGCGTCTTTAATTTGACAACTGGTAAAAGTTTAGCTTGCAGTGAAAATCTCCCGAAGACATTTTGCATTTTACTAAATAAATAATTTCTTTGTAAACCTTCTCAGATGAAACTTGATACTTATTGTCTTAGCGCTTGGATTCATAACCTTTCCTCTTAGTGTATTCAATATTCAATATGTATAATACTAGGATTTTAGGGCACTTCGTGCACATCTTCTATTTAAACTTTTAATTACAGTAAAACAATAACAAATAAAATTCGCGGATTTACTTTTATTTTTTCGCGCATTTTTAAACAGACAGACAAAGCAAAGTATATATCTAGATTATCTTTTACATTATAATTAAATTACGAAATATGCCTTGATTTGAAAATGGACAAAAATATCTATATGGGACCAATATATCTTCTTCTATACAATAAAGCTTTTGCTCATTTATATATATCACGTAAGCTATAGCTGGCCAAACGGCTGGACCAAATTGGCAGAACTTTTTTGAGGAAACGCATGGGTACCATGGGCTAAAAAATATTTTATATACCTTGATATGTCCGTGAATACCGTCGTTAATGAACATATTCTTGTCCCCATATCCATCAGACATCTGGAGCAATCTCTGCCAATCCTTAGCCCTGGGACTCTCAGTGCTCACAGGGACACCGTCTACAATATATATAGGTTATATCTAGTACATATAGTACATACAATACATAGCAGTTCATTCAGAGGCGTACACAGGGGAGTAGGGATGGGGAGGGAAGAGGGTTAAATAAGTTTTTAGATGGGCTAATACTAGAACTTTTAGTTAAATGGGATTTTTAATGTCGTCTTTCAAGAATTAAACCCATGTATTTCAGCTTCTATTTTTTGCATTTAAAATAATGTCATTATTTGGCGTAAAACATAAGGAAATTTGTTTTAAAGACCAAAATATAGTAGCCCGGGCATTAACTCACGTCTGGCGTTATTTAAAGTCACACCGCGAATTAAACATATTTATCTTTCACTTTTTAAATTTTCATAAATGATAGGATTTTGTTAATAAAACACATATCACACCTTTATCACGCTTCATTAGTGTCTGAAAAAAAACTTATTATGATTATGATTGCAAATAAATAAATGGACATTGGACAAGTACATACGTCACAAACAGGGTGCTGGGTGGTAAATATTTCCAGACCCTCTTTAAGAAATATTTAATGCAGAATCGCGATCCATTCTATATAAGTGTAAGGCCGGGGCTAGGAACGATTATATTAAAGCAAACTTAATTGGGCCATGTCCTGGAAACGTTTTATGGACAGCTCTGATCACAGGGGGGCCTGGGGGGGGGGGTCCAAAAATCGTTCTCTATGAATATACCCCATTTACTTGGGAGAAAATCTGCCAAACTATAGCACTCTCCAGCAAATTTCCCTCGAAATTGGGTCTAATGAGTTAATTTTATAAATGTTTGCGTAAGGTTAAAAAATAACTTGAGTCAACAATAGTGAGGTTTCTCGGCCGACCAAGAGAAAGTTAAAATATCGATTTTTAATGGGAAGAAAGTATTCTACAAGAAGAAGGAGTTTAAAGTACAAAACTAAACTCTGCGCGGGCGCCTGCACTTGTAATAATTTTCACTGCAAAAATTAAATTTAAAAAATTAATTTTGTACACTTATACGCTATGATGACTATGACGGTGTAAGTTTAAGTATGACTATAATGACGTGAGTAATAATTATGTCAATTCTGTGATCTGTCAATAAACAGTAAACACACCGTACACAATATTCACAGCTGATTAAGTACACCCGACTGAATATTATGTGTCCTCCGAAACTAACCTCCTCCCCTCCCCCTGTCCTTGCCTAATACCTGGCTAGTGCCTACGTACCGACACACAGATTTTTAATAAGAAAGCAAGCATTATCTTTTCGTGAGGGGGAGCCGGAACGGTGGGAGGGGGAGACAATTTCACAGCTTTAAAATTAGATAATAACAGTTAATTAATATAATTTATAAAACAAACAGCAAAATACAGGGATTCCAATTGGTTTTATACGGAACCAGATGCTATATCGTTCTGGACTAAAATTCTATTTTCCCGCCAGGAATATTTTATTTTCCCGCCAGGAATATTACAGTACAAATGGATCTACAGTGCGATTGATCTGGAATACTTAAAATATTTGTTTAAACGAACTATTTTTTTTCTGTATAATCAATTAGTGCAATTGAACTTCCGTGCAAACGAACATATTTCCAACAAAAAATTTGTTCGAACGGAATAATTTTTTCTGTAAATATTATAGTTTGAACATTACCCAGCAAGGAAATTCCACAGTTTTAAAATAAGATATTTACAGTTAATTTTAAAATATTTTAAAATATTTTAAAAAACAAACAAATAACAATTGGGTTTTTTTGAAAGAAGAGGGCATGGGGCACGTTTACAGAAATTTGTCCAGGGAGCTGGGGGGGGG